GCGCCGCTGCGGGGCTTGGGGGCCTCTCCACAGATCTACGGGGGAAGCAGGGCTGCGGGGCACTACGGGCTTAGCTTGCACAGCAGAACTTTACTGCCTGAAATTGCAGTGACATGTTGCCCACAGAAGAAGGTGCAGCTATTTTCTTCTGATTCATCACGGATTAAGGATTGGTGTCGTCTATTTTCTGCTTATTGGGGAATGAGCAACAGTTTTCCTCTGTTGTAATGTTTTCCAGCTGTAAGAGGATACATAACAAAAATTTCTGCCCAGCAAAATTAATCTAAGGTTGCAAGATAAATCGAATTGCATGTGTGTGATCTAAAGTATTCAAATAAGTAAAATTTTGTGATTATAAAGGCTTTAGATCACATAGATGCAGCCACAAAAAGAAAGAGAAACCCAGTATCAGACAAATCACTATTTGATTGACACCGAAAACTTACAAAAAGCATGAGTTGATGCAATACATAGGCTACTGGCCGCTCACTCGGATCCTCTTCCTGGGGTTGCCAGACCATTGCAATGCACTTGGAATGGACCGAGAGAGACCAGGCCTCAACCTAGGGAAACCAGTAATGCTGTTGGTTGTGTTTGTGGGTTTTTTTATTTAGAACCAACAGTATAGAGATGTCATCTCTCTCATCCATTTTATAAACGTGAATTAATTGTCAGAGATGGCCATTAAAGTTTCCTAGGAAGCAGTGAGAGCTGTCTGATGAGGATGACGAAACAGCAGCAGAAGCTGAAAGCATGCTGCTTTATGAACCAGACCCCTTCCTCAGCCATTTTCCGTACTTTTTCAATAAGTTGAATTTAAATGCTGCAAACAGCTGTCACAGGTGGATGCGGTTAGGTTAAATGTTTGAGAAACGCCAGCCCTTGCAAGTCATACAGCTACATTGGAACCCAGTGAGAGGAACCGGTACCTCTACCTGCCAAAATAACTGATGTGTATTGGTCAGTACGCTGCCTTAGCCTTAACATTTAGCTGATAAAAACCTGGAAAGGTGAGACCCTGAATGTCTGACTATACAGGACTCTGCTTATGCCTTGTAAAACAAGTCAATAGAATAAGACCAATAAAAAAACCCTTTAAGTCTGTGGAGGCCCAGACAGAAGCACGTGGAATTTCTGTGATGCTGGAATTGCATTATCAGCCAGTCCTCTTATTTCCCCAGTTCTTATTAATTTACACCGCTATACAATGTACCGTAATAAACCCAAAAAGCACCTAATTAATCTAAACAAATATGTGGGTCGAGAGAGGATTTTGTCCCTTCTGGTTTGATTCGGAGCTTCACAAAAATCTCAAGTCTTTAACATCCTGAGGAATTACTATTTCAGCAGAAGCAAAATGAATTATGCGTCAATGAACAATTGGGTTATCAAGGTTGTTCACTTAATGTTCCAGCTGTTCTATAGCACCTTCTTAACGTTTATTGGAGATTTGTTTTGAATTTAGTCTTATTCCATGGTACTTACAAATAAATACATTGTGTTTCTTACAGCTGCTGTGCCAGTTAATAGCAAATACAAGTACATAATAAATTTCTTGCCTCTTACTGCTAGAACTAGAAATGACAGAGGGTGGAGGCTTCATTCAAAGGAGATCCATTAATGTAATAACAGTGAAGCCAGAGACTAAAGCTGATAGGATTTGTGGGGAGTTTTGTACAGCACTTAGCTACATTAACACTGTTTTTTTTGCTCCTTGCCCTCATAAGGGCTAAAACTTAGATATACCAAGGAAACCAAGGAAATACAGTTCTGGCCACTGTTTCTGTGCCCTTTTCCAGCTGTCCTGCAGGCAGACGGGCATCAGGTCATGCTGGAAGAGATATCAGGCTGGAACGCTGTAGAGTTGGTGGTCAGCGGGGAGATTGTATTTCTCCGTGACATCAATGACCTGGATTTTGGTAAGTACAGAGTTTTATTCATTGCGGTCTCTCGCTGAAATCACATTTTGAAATGAGTGCTTCCTAAGGCATAAACAGTCCAAGTTCCGTCAACATTAACACTTTTAAGCTCTGCACTCCTTTATATTTGAGGCAGTTTGAAGGGCACGTTCAGGAAGAGAGGATGGTTTGGGAGGTAAGGCCATGCCTGGGAGAGCACTGTTTGGGGCCGTCCCGCAGGCACCAGCACACAATCACAAGAAAACTGCTAGGTTTCAGTCCCCAGAGGTATTAGGGCATCCTTTTGCTTTCAAAATACCCACACGCCCCCCCCACCCCCAGCAAAACATTTATAATTTTTTTTCTGCAGGTGACACAAGGAGTTCAGGGCTCAAGTTTTCTCATCTCCTGTGCAAGTGGGTTCCAGCAAAAGGCTGAAAGCCACTGCTCCTCACCTCCCTGCTTTGCAACATCCTCCGGAGGGCTGGGAATGGGACTTGTGGAGCAAAAGCAGAAAACTGACCAAGGATAACGGCATTTCCAGCACCACTGTTTGGTTGGTTTCACCTTCCTACAAGGAAGACAGGCTAGGAACTGAGAGGTTCCAGTTGGAAATTTCTTCTAACAAAATACAGCTTCTTTTTTTTTTTTGTCACAATCCCAGACCTACGCTAGACAGTGAAGTACTGGCTAATAGGCCATGCTACTTTTTTAACCACCTGCACTGCTGCATTCACTTTTTGCTCTGTTTCAAATCCAGATCAAAGCTGAATCAATCTCAGATTATACAGCCAACCAGGGTAGAGCCAAGCTGGGTCCAAGTACTGTGAGGGAGAATGCAAAGGAATATAGATGCTTGTGTAAGAGGTAGAAATGTAAAATAAGAATAAATTTACTTGCATGTACTTTGTAAGCTGTATTTTTCTCCTTTAGGAGGTGATCGCAAGTTGGATCCACTTTGTGAAGAAGCCAGAAAAGCAGTGTTAAATGATTACTGATTTACAGGGACACACTCCCTTTTACCTTGGTTTTCCGTCAGGCAATATACTTGCATTACACAGGTATTAGAAATGTCAGGATACAGATGGTTCTTTACACTTCTAGTCTCTTAATGAAGCTCTAGATAATCTTACTTGTTATACCCATGTGTCAACCAAGTAAGAATACACCACCTTTTCCAGAACCAGTCATATGTTACCACCCTGAATATTACAAATTCAGGTAGAACTGTGACTTGCATGTAGTGCTAATAATTTTATTTTAATTAAGAGAAGAATGAAACTCCTGGATATCGTTCATTCTTTCAACTTTTAGAAAGTTTCCTATGTCAGAAATGAAAATTTCAAAGTCATTCATAGCTGATGATCATCCCATACATATTCATACAGGTGTGCCAGTTCCGCTCTTCTCTTGGCCACAAACGTCTCAGAGAACATTCGTGCATCATTAGACACAGCCCAAAGGTACAGAGACAGAGAAGCTGGCATAGCCATGAGGACAGGATTAAAGCTGACTGGGTGTTACCACAACTGATATTCCAGGTATCTCAAAAGTAATGCTGCCTTTTCCTCTCTATTCCCACCCCCCCAATAACTAGAGTATGAAGCTTTTTTTTTGCTCCTGATTTGTCAACATACACTCTCAACCTCAACTTCATTTTGAAAACAGTTCTGACTCAGGTAAATGCTGCAGTTTGCAAATAATCATATGCCAGAATGCTGGTGCTCTGAGCAATTTTCCGTGAGGCCTATAATTAGTTATGAAAGAAAGAAGTGGTTAGTCTTTGCATCCTAGCAGAGTGGTGTGAACAAAGAAACACAGCATTTGTTGAGGCTCAGGAGCACCAGGCAGCAAAGCTGCAGTTTCTCGTGTGGCTGCAGGAGAGACAGGCTGCCCAGCATAAAACCAAAGACAAAGAAATTCTATCACTGGGCATTTCCTACCAGCTGTAACCTGCAGGGAGATAGCTGCAGTTACAAATAACCAAACCTCGTTTACAGTGATACTGATCCAGCACAAAAGTGTTGTCAAAATAACACTATCGCTATGTCCAAATACAGTCCCTTTCTAATGACCTATAGATGACAGAGGCATTAAAACAATATTCTCTAGTGAGAAAAAAATACTCATAGTTAAAGTCTAGCGAAGCAGAAACTGTTTTGTCCCTTTAGAAGACTGAAACATTTTTGCTTTCTACAACTCTGATACAAGAAGACTAGAAAGTGAGAACATTCAGGCTGAACCCCGTTGAGAAGACAATACAATTAAGCTCGGTGCAGATGACAAAGGTGTTTTCCGCAGCAGATGCTCAGCGAGACAGCAGACTGGGGTTTCAGCATCTGTCCCGGAGAGCGGTGAGTTAGTCCACACCTGGCTGTGACCCCGACCCTGTGAGGACCGAGCAGGCTGTCCTGCACCACAGCCCAACGCCAGCCCTCGGTGCAGGGACGGCTTTGAAAACGCCCACCCTGCTGCATTCGTCAGTGGGACACCCACAAATGGTTTTCTGCTCTGGCAGTCAATTTTTATTTGCCTCTTAGGTAAAAGCAAATTAATTAGACTAAGTTACTTCAAATAATGTTAGTTCTGGGCAGAATTTACTGTCAAAAATAGAAGACTAAACTCCTCACACCTCTTGAGCATAGAATGCTGTAAACATCAATGGAAATGCTCTGGGCAGATGAACTCACTGGTGTGACTAGTTCATTTTTTAAAAAAAAGTTTTGTTTTTGCTGTGTCCAGTGCCCTCTGTAACATCACTCTGAGGACATTTCTGACATACCTCCAAGTTAGAATGACAGCAGTTTTGTAGGGAGATATTAAGCCTTAATAGATCAACATGTTTAGCTGGAATAAATACAAACAAGCTTTAAGGAACACAAGGCTTCAGGTCTGAAAGAGAAGCAGCAAACTTCAAGATGGGTATGGGTTGAGAAGAACTGCTCTGACTTTGCTTTAGAGTAATGTTACGACCACATTGTGAAAGACCAGAGACAGATGAGAAAAGATTTTTAATATGACAGTGAGATATCTTCCAGTGAGATAACAAATTAGATCCATCAGACATTTTGAACAGAGCCGGCTAGAATGCACAAAGAGAACTCAGGCCCCGTTCCTGTGCTTTTGTTACAGAAGGGAAAAATAAATACAAATTTGAAGTAGCCCTTTCAGTTTGGTACCCGTCCCCCAAACACTACCTGCGATTAGTTGCCATGGCACTAGCAGGCAGCTGGATATTTGAAGGCACTGTAGTAGCCACTTGGACAAAGGCATTTAATTTTTTTATATACAAAATAACCACTTTTTTCCTCAAAGTGTCCCTCATTTTTAAGGGGATTATCTGCCCCACAGATAATCATGGCCATTTGAAAACTGAAAATAGCCTGCAAGTCCTCTCTACAGTGACTTTCATCCAGACTATTGTGATAAAGTCAAATCAGGAGGAACAGCAGCAGCAAATTATTCCCGTAGTAACACTAACTAAATTGCTGTGCAGCTTTTACAGTTTGACTAATTGTCTCATTAAGACACATTTCTGATCACTGAAATGGATCTCAAGTATTATTAATCACTGAAAAAACTGTACCACTAAGAGCCTCTCTCCCTCCTATCCTTGGCACTATTTGCAGTGGAAAACACACAAAGACTCCCGTTGATTGGAGCCCCGCTGCTGCACAGTTGGCAGCCAAATGGTACTAATGGCATGGTAACACAGTGTAACTAAAATAGTTTGCCTTTTACAGTCACAATCTCTTATAACATGATTAAGCTCTATCACGCACATTTCCTTATGTTTTGCAAATGGCTCAAAAAAAAAAAATCTGACAATTTTTCCAGTAATGTCTTCAAAAGGGGAGGGGAAATAAAAAAATCATTAGTTATCAAGAAACAAATTAACAACACTTGATACATTAAAAAAAGATTAAAACAACTGCACCAAGCACGGGCTGCACAGCAGCATGGCTGTGTGGCACCAAGTCCGCTCCTCCAAAGACCAAGTTTGTCACAGGTAATTGCAGACACTTTACTGAAGCACTTATTTCAGGAGCTGGCTTGCCCTAGGGTATCTCTGTAACCGATGGAGAGAGGTATCTCCACAGAACAATTCAGATCTCTACCAAGTATAGACTGTAGGATCTCTGGGCTCCTAATTTAGGTACCTTTTTGGTGTTTGATTTCAAACAATATTAAAAGAGATGAAGGTTTTTCCTCATATGAGGAGCCATTTTGAAAAGAGCAAGCTGGCATCATCCAGCACACTGCTGACATGCTCTTTACATTCCCAGCAAAGAGCCGGATTTTGCTCTTGGCCATCACTCCCAGTGGTTGCACAAGCCATAAATTGCAACAAGACATTTCCCCCTACAAGAGTTGTAGGTGTTTATCCCGTACATTTACATATTAAAGACAGCAGCCACTTAATTTTCAAGTAGCTTATTCTCAGAAGCCTAGTGCAAAAGTTGTACAGGTATTGCCAGGAGAGAGGCACATTTTCATGATGGTCAGCCTGATCAAAAAAACCTGTAAAGGCCTAGGAGCTCTTCTGTGTAGATGGAAGTGGTGCACGAGAAGGAAATCACTCCATACAGTTACTCAAGAAGAGTTTAAAAGATCCGATTTATTCTCAGACATGCTTTGCTTGTTTTAAAGTGACTGTACGATGGTAATCATCAACTTCCCATGGGTATGCTTCTGATTATGTACTTGGAAAACTAAAGCAACCTACAGCTGATATCAGCACAGTTCTCAAAAAAGAGTTTAAACTTCATTAGAGGAACAAAGTTGAATTATTTTAATAGTTGTGGGGTTTTTTAATAAAAAGTATCAATGGTACTATACATAGTTAAATTTCCTTCCTGTTCATTTTGTGTATTGGCCATCCAGTAACGTGATACTAAACACGGCAGCAGTAAGAACTTCCACGCATCATTTTTATATATTAAAAGAAAGTCTGTGACAGATGCGCTTTGCAGTTTGTAGGAAATCACTTCTCCATCTCTTTCATCTGAAATGGAGATAACAGCTTTGAGTCACAGAGATATTGTGAATTCCAATTCCCCAGTAAAAAGTGCTGTACAACTAGTTGTATGGCACTCCACAATTAGTGCAGGGAAATACTTTATTCCAGTAAATTGTTTTTTTAAGTAATTTTTTTTTTTTTTTCGCTTAAAAGAGAGGGAACAAAGTGATATTTCTGTTTTTAAACAGTTGCTTTAAACTATCCAGATCATTTTTGGTTATTTTAAGGTGTTTTTACTTAAAATATTGAGAACATTCCCTATCAATGCCCACACGTGTTATGAGCAGAAAACAGCCCAAGAGAATACATGCTGGATTCTTCTGCTCTGTCAAGGCACATATTTACAAGACTCCTAACTCAGTATAGGCTCATTCAAGTGAGAGACAAGATGTGTTACTAATTTAAGATGAATTTGAAATATGGCCATTTACTTGCTACAACTTTCAGTTTTGATAAATTTTGTAAGGTAGCTTTAAGACAAGACAGGGTTATTCTGCACCCACACATAGGCACTATTCCGATACATAAGTATTTGCTTACATAACATGCATGTATATATGTAAATGTACCCAGGAAGGCATCCACCACGGTCATATGAAGTACAGCCAGAAACATTACAAATTAGTGGTCTTTGTCATAGGCTTTGGAATTAATTCTGGGGAACAAAATATGTTATGCAGATCTCTGTTGACTTCCCTTTGGGCTTTGTTACAGAGACGGGTACCACAAAGTTACAAAGTTTTGCGTAAACCTATTGAGCTCATGAGCTATGCAATATTGTTCTCACTACGAAAAATACAATTTTACTGATAAGTCTAATGAGGGGCCTGAGGGGTGTGATAAGGGCCTAAGGGGGG